GCCTGCGTGCTGCCCGTCGCTCTGTGTTCCAGAACAAGATCGTGGACCGGTGTGAGCGGCTCCAGCTGCAGAGTGCTGCCATTGCCCGGCACGTGGACGACGTGCTGCCCGCCAAGGACCAGGGTGTCCTGGTAAGTCCCTGCCCCTTCTCCCGGCGCAGCGTGGAGCTGGCCCCACCTGCTCCTGTGCTCGCCATTCCTGGTGGAGATGCTGATCTCTTGGGGGCCTGTCCGTGTGCAGGGCTTGGCCCGCTCCTGCCTGGCTGCTTGTGCAAGTGGAGTGCCAGAGTGCACCTGCGATTCCTAAAGATCTGCCTAAAAAATGTATACAAACAATACATTTCTTGGTGTTAGTGTACAGCCGTTAAACATCCCACTAGGACCAGTCTTCACGATTACTGATTTTTTTTTTCGTGCCTCGCTGCCACCAAGAACAAAAAACGGTTCTCACAGTGGCTCCGTTTCTCACTAATAGCGAATCCAGAAGATCTCTGGGCCCTCACAGGTTGTCCCGTGGGTGCCAGGGTTAGGCCAGGAGGCAGTAGGCAGGTTTGGGACTGGTTGTCCTCTTTACCTCTGCTTGCATTGTGATGATAACTGTGGCATGGGCTCAATTAACAGGGTAATCTTAACAGCTGAGCCCACAGAAAGCCAGCAGAAGCGGTTGGGTTTAAGCAAGGCTGGTGTTTCTCCTCTCTCCTTGCTCTGGCAGAATGCAGCCAATGCGGCGCGGGAGCTGGTAATCCAGAGGCTGATCTTTGTGGGGAACGTGTGTGAAAATGAAGAACAGCGGTTGCTGGAGAAGGTGCACGTGGAGGAGGAGCGGGTGCACCAGAGCATCCTGACCCAGCGGGCGCACTGGACTGAGGCTTTGCAGAAGCTGGCTGCCCTCCGAACCTACCTGGTGGACATGATCACCAACGTGGATGACCAGGGCCTGGTGGTAAGCACTACTCCTTGTACCGAGGGACAGGTCAGTCAGCCCAGAAGTGACCTAGACTTTTTATCATGGATATTATGGGACTTAAATACAGTGTTCAGCAGCTTGTTGTGCTGACAGCAAAGAGGCAGAGTTGGACAGGACCTCTGTTTGCAGGTGTAGCTCAAGGAACCTCCTTCACCTGGTCCTGACAAACCCCCGTGGTTTCTCGGTGGTTCCTAGAGCATCTGTTCTGCCCGATTCCGCTTTTGCTTGTGGTGAGGTTCAGAACCGCCCAGGCTCAGGTCGCCGAGGTCTTGGCTAGAAGCTGCCGGCTCTCAGATGCCCTTAGGCTTGACAGCCAGGACAGCTATGGGCTGAGAGCTGCTCTTACAGCAGTCAGTTGGGTCACCAGTCTTCTAGTGTTCTGTCTGGTTTTAATCAAAATGGGACCCTTGGGAGCACCTGTAGTTCTTCTTGAAGAGATGCCTTGTTGATGCCCTGTTGTCTGGCGTACCTCTCTGGGATATTTACTGAGCAAGGCAGCCCGTGCTTCCCTTCGCTCAGTTCCTTTTCTGGCTATTAAATTGTCTCGCTTTAGCCAAGCGATTCCTCTCGCTGTAGACGCGAGCAGGTAGGCATTGCACCTCCTCTTCCTCGCTCTTAGCCTCTGCTTGCCACATGTACCTTTGTGAAGAGGTGGGCAGCAGCTCTGCTTGGAAAACAGCACCGATCCCAGGGACAGAAGGTTGATGGCTGTTTCTTTGGTGGGAAACGCAGCTTCTGTCCTACTTGGCATCCTACTTGGCTGGGCTGAGGCCTCGCTGTAGAGAGCAGAGGATGGAAAGCAAGATCCATCAGGTGCCTGTGGCAGAAAACGGCGATACCCTCAATTTCTCCTTTTGCCTCGTAGTGGAGGGGAAATAAGGATTGTACGTTCTCCACCTTGGATCGTTGGTGTTGGTATTTGTGTCTATCTATACGTGTCATGTCACAAGAAATTGAGAGTGCCCTGCAGCTCGTATTTGAACAGGGATCAAATATTTTCCTACCATTTTGCTAATTGGGCTGTACCTTGAGAATGCACCATTACCAGCAGGTACAGAAACAAGTGGGACTGATCACAAGGTTATCTGGCTCTTGGCTTAGGTCCTCTGCAGCTTCACCCCCTATTGAAAGCTTTGGGGGTTGTTTGCTGCAAGCACAGGCTGCTTTTGCAGCGTGCCTGAGCGGGGTGGGCGAGGAGGACCTCGGGGCTGGGGCTTTCACACTCTGGGCAAGGCAGGGTGCAGCAGTAAGAGCTCCCAGATGCAGAGAGGCTGGTGTCTCCCAGGGGGTATGGAGTCAGAGCTGGTTCTGTGTGGGTCCAAGACTTTCCACCTGCCTCAGGTCTCCCCTGTGTTTCCCCTGCGCCAGACGACCCAGCTGTACTTGCAGTCTTCTGCTGTCACCGCTTGCACGCGCAGCAGAGCGGTGGCAGGCTCTGTCTGGATGCTCCCGTGCCCTTCTCGAGCTCTTTGTCACCCAGCCACCCAGTCCCACTGGTGCAGCAGATATCACCCCTAGCTAGATGTAGAAGATATATCGTCCTCAGGCATTCCCACTCATTTTCTGAGTCAGGGAGTGGAAAGAGCTGCAGTTGAAGAAAATGGATGTTGGATGCTCCCCCTGCTCCCCAGGGCCAGCTTTGGGATGAGGGGTGGTTTTCTGGGTCAGGAAGGAGAACAGTGCTCCTGGGTTCCAGGTTTGCTGTGCCCCAACCTGTGTTTGGGATTTTATCTGTGGGGATTTCAGCTGTGATGACTCTTTCTCTCCTTGTCTCCAGCGTGCAGAACAAGAGATCTTCGAGAGGTTAGTACCTGGTCCTTTCCCTGACTCCTGCTCCAAGCTTGCCTGCACCCTCTGTGGCTCCGGCCGTGAGCAGCAGGTGACACCCCCTCTTTCCTCCCTTGCGCTGCTCTTGTTGAGGACAGCACAGAGCACAGAGATGCCAGCATGGCCTCTTGTCTCTGCTTCACGTGCTGCGCTGCAGCTCAAGGCAGAGGAGACTTGGCACAATGCTCCATGTGCAATGTCAACCCCGGCATTGCCAGATGCGCTGGCCCTCGCTTACGGGAGACCTTCTCCAGCTCCTTAGTAAACTGCACAGGGCTCCCCGGGAGATGGAGCAAGCCTGTCCTCCCTGGCCTGGTGGCAGGAGGTGGGATTGTCCACCCGGAAAGCTGGCGTGCGCCATGCGGCTCCGCACTCGGGCTGCCTCCTTCCCCGACAAAGACTGCACGGAGGGGACAGCCAAGGGCAGGCATCAGCATTTCTGACAGCCGTCCTCAGTCACGCGGGGTGCCCTTCCTTGGGGGGGCAGCTTGGTGGCTGCGTTTCTACAGGCATTTATTTCTGTGGCTGCTGCAAGGGTGCTGGCTAGCACTGGTGCGACTCTGCTACCCGGAGGACTTTCGGGAGTACTTTTGCCTGGAGCCCGCGGGGAGGGAGTAAGCAATCAGCCACAGCACATCACCCACAGCCAGCGCTTTACGTACAACCATGAGTTCCTGTGTGTACTGCAGGCCGCAGGAACCCAGCAAAGCCTCAGTCTCCTTGCTGTGCTGTGTGACACCCGGAGCCTCGGCTTGCTCTCCCGTTGTATCCCCCTTTGACAGCAAAGCTTTGTTGGTAAAGAGGGAAATCTGATTCTCTCACTGCGGCCTGTTCATTGTGCTCCTCTTGTACCTTGATGGCAGCTCTCACATGCATTTAATCTCTGTCTGCTGAGCGAGGAGGCTGTTCGCTCGGGCTGCTGGGGTTGTATTTTGAAACACTGAAGCCCTTTCAGATGGGCTTTTGTAATCAAAGCCAACCGAAAGTACCGCTCGGGAGGAGAGTTTGTCCAGAAACTCCCGGCGCAGTTTCTCTGCAGCAAGTGCTCATATTTCTGGCGTACTTCCTGGTGATCTTAAACACCTCCCAGCGCTGGCCAATAAATCATTGTATTTTGAAATAACTTTTGTGTTCCTTTGCTAGGACAGAGGTGGCGGAGGGAATCTTAGAGCCACAGGAGTCCCTGAAGTTAAACTTTAATCAGACCTGTGTTCAGAGTCCACTGCTGCATCGACTATGGGCCTCTGCTGTTCTCTGCTGCGTCGCAGGTCAGTGTCTCGCTCAGGCCTCATGCTCTCTGAGGATTCCTACGTGCTCGTGCCCAAAAAAACCATCCTGATGCTCTGTCGAAAAATCCCAATGCTGCGTCCTGCCCAGGACATGGGCATCCTGCCCTCCTCTGCTGTCGAGCCCCTGCTAGTTGCTTGGAGCCCCCCAGCCATGGGGGCAGCAGCGGCTGTAGGAGGTTTGGGAGGGGGGACAGTGGCTCAAAGCAGCTGGTTGTGGCAAGGAGGAGAACAGGCGTTTGAAAACAACTCCCTACAACTACCTGAGAGGGGGTTGTGGTGAGGTGGGTGTTGGTCTCTTCTCCCAAGTAACCAGCGACAGGATGAGAGGAAATGGCCTCAAGTTGTGCCAGGGGAGGTTTAAGTTGGATATTGGGAAACATTTCCTTACGGAGAGAGTGGTCAAGCATTGGAACAGGCTGCCCAGGGAGGTGATGGAGTCACCATCACTGGAAGTGTTCAAAAAACGTGTGGACATGGCACTTCAGGACATGGTTTAGTGGGCATGGTGGTGTTGGGTTGATGGTTGGCTTGATGATCTTGAAGGTCTTTTCCAACCTTAATGATTCTGTGATTCTGTGAAAAGACTGTGTCTTTTATCAGCTCTGTTGATTAACTTCACTTGGCTTCTTTTGCTGTTTCCTGGGTCACTTGGTAACAGCAGTGGAGCTGATGCTGCTGTAGGAATCTGTGTCGCAGAAATTCCTCTTTACCACATTTAGCACTGGCCTGATGGTGATTTTAAAAGAGGGTGAACTCACCCGCGTGGCGTCTGTGAGACGCTCTGATATGCTGGAATGAGAAGTGAGTAAATGCAGTAGCTTTCTGATCATAAGCTGAGATTGTGGCTGCGCACGAGGTGGTGGTTTGTTAGAGACGTTTGTGATCTGGTTCGGCTCTCGCTCTGCAGCTGAGGTTGCATCGGAGGCATTTGCCAGGCCAGCGACATGCTCTGGGTACAGTTCAACCAGGTTGGTGTCGGCTCTGTTGAGCAGGGAGAGACTGATTGTGAAATGTTTGCTTTTACTCTTGCTTCCAGGTTATCATTAGAGCGTTTCGAATGTATTTTTTGTTCCTCAAAGGTGGCAATATCCTTCACAATTTGAAAACATTTGTCCCATGTGCCACCTCGTGAACGATCCCTGGGGGTTTTCTTCCCAAAGCTTTTGCATTAACCTTTGATTTTTTGCTCATCTTGCTCTTGATGCTGATGAGTGGTTCACACTTTTTCCCTGTTTCCAGGTCCTTCTCCAAGGTATGTGCTTCTGGCTTTTATTACTTTTGTGTTTTCCAGTGTTAGCTTGAGAATCTGTGCATACCGGATGACACCATCATTTGTTTCTTCTGCTGCAAACTCTGGTGGTTGCTCTCCCTTTGTGATTAATTTCCCTCTGTTGTGAGTCTTTGAGTGCTGGCAGTCATGCAGACTCCTGCAGTTGTGCATTGGCAAAGCTGAGCAGGTTCTCAGCAGATATTCAGAGCTGCCCAGTCATGTAGGAAACCTTTCCCTAATTCTCTTTGTTGTGACATGTTTTTTTTATGGGTTCCTTTCCCAATAGCATCCTTGTCAAATGTAATGACTGTAAGGCAGGCGATCCTAGTAGTGGATCTGTTGGTACTATTATTACGCTCCGGTTTGGGTTTCTTTTCTTTCCTTTTTTTTTTTTTTTTTTGTGTGGTTACATTTAACATGTCATTATTGCGTGCGGGGGATGCCTGCCATATCCTTGCTTATCTCACTAGTCCATAGTCCACCCAGGATGTAGCCTTAGGTATTTAATATTAACTGCAGTGGTCCTAGCTTTTGTTAAGATACAGTAACGTTATGCTTCGCTTGGTGGTCCCTCCTCCTACAGGGAGTTGAACGGGTGACAGACTTTTTATTTGCTTGAAAAGAGTAAATTCCTAGCCTTGACGGTTTGCCCTGCACCTTCTCAAAAACTTGGAAACCAGCAGGCAAAAGAACCTCCATTTCACTCTCAAAACCAAAGAAGATTCCTTTAGCGTCTTCACTTGGCATCTAGGCTTCTGTATCGCTTATGTTTGGGGTTGGCAGCTCCTTCCTTAAGCCAAGAGATGATGTAAATCTCATGGCACCGTTCTGGGAGGGATCTCGGTTCAGGGCCACCCGTGTTAGTCCTGCTGGGGGGCAGGTAACTGGTGATGCTGGCTGGAGACCTGACGGAGGACAGCCGGGTGCAGGGGTGACGCAGACTGAAGCTGTCCCAGCTGGCTGAGACCTTGGGCTGCTCCATGGTGACCTTCTGCCCCTTTTAACTGCAGATGTGTGAGTTTGGAAATGGGAACTTGGATTTTTAAAAGCCGTAAAATGTGCTGCAACTAACACATCCATACTTGACAGAGATGTTAACCACGTTAACTTACCTACTCAGCATCCCTCGTCTCCCTCAAGCGGCAAGGCTGCAGACAAAATAGATTTTGGGGGTGAGATGAATTCCCGGTGGAATTCTTCATCAGAATATAGGGGAATATCCAGAGGGCAGATTTAACCGTGACAAGACACTTGTCTGTGTGGGAAAATTTGCTGATCTGAATTACTCTGCTGTTACTCTGCCAGCGCTTCCCCTCCCTCAGATGCTCCCCTGGGATCGTGATTCCACAAAGAAGCTACGTGGGTGTCATCGGGGTGGTATTTCCCCGCGTGGATGATCCCTGTACATGAACACCAGAACGTACCTAGGTTAGATGGGTGTTGCACAATATGAGGTTTAATGTCAGAGGAAGACAAAGTCTCGTACTGCTCCGTTTTCTGTGAATTCGTAGCAGCGTTTGGCTTCCTGGAAAGTCAACCTACAAACAGGCAGTGTGGGCACATGCAGCTGCAGAGGCCTCCGGAGGGCGCAGCGTGGTGGGCAGGCATGCCGCAAAGCGCTTGGCCGGTGAAATAAATCATCAAATGAATGAGGTTGTCTGCTTCAGCTGGAAGGGGATGCTTGTCTTCAGCTCCTCTTTCTGTTCGCTGTGGCCCACAATAGCTTCCACCCAACGTGCAAGTGTTGGCACTTCCACCTTGTGCAAACTGGTAATTCGGCCTGGGTTCACCTCCCGCCGGAGGCCGGAGCAGGCGGGATATGGTAGAGCTGGCGGCAGGGCTGGGAGCGCAAATGACTCGCCTGCCCCAGCCTTGTTTCCTGGCGGTTTAAGACCTGAAGTGAGTGACGGAGGGTGGGGGAAGGCAGGGCAAGGAGGGGCACCTGCAGGTAGAAACTCCCCGGAGGAGAGAGTCAGTTGGGCATCAGCCGCCTCTTTGCTTGGCGAACTCACCGAGCGAGGGAAACGTTCGCGCGGTTCCTCAGCGCGGAGGGGTCTGGCGGGGGGAGCGTGCCACCTCCTGTGGCCAAAAGCACTGGGGTGGGTCGGTTAATTACTGGAGCTTTATGGGAGGAAAGGGATTCCCCTTGCCCAGCCCTCTCCTTCTTCCTGTTCAGGTATTACCGGCTTTGCAGGTTTTCTGCTAATGGCGTCCTTGCAGGGCCGTGGACTCGCCCGGGCTGGGGGAGGAGAGGTTGGGTCCTACTTGCCACAGTGGGGCTGGGAAGGGGCAGGGCTCACATTTGGGTCTCTCCCAAAAGCAGGAGCACAGAATGGTTTGGGTTGGAAGGGACCGTTAGAGGCCATCTAGTCCAACCCCCTGCAGTGAGCAGGGACATCTTCAACCAGAGCAGGGTGCTCAGAGCCCCGTCCAGCCTGACCTGGGATGTTCCCAGGGATGGGACATCAACCACCTCTCTGGGCAACCTGGGACAGGGCTTCACCACCCTCATTGCAAAAAATGTTTTCCTTAGATCTAGTCTAAATCTGCCCTCTCTTAGTTTAAACCCATTACCTCTTGTCCTATCGCTACAGGCCCTGCTAAAAAGTCTTTCCACATCTTTCTTCTAAGCCCCTTTCAGCCCTGGCTTCTCTGCCCCAGGCTGAGCCCCCCCAGCTCTCCCAGCCCGTCCTCCCAGCAGAGCTGTTCCAGCCCTTGGAGCATTGCTGGGGCCTCCTCTGGCCCCACTCCAGCAGGTCCGTGTCTCTCCTGTGCCGAGGGCTCCAGAGCTGGACGCAGCCCTGCAGGGGGGTCTGCCCAGAGCGGGGCAGAGGGGCAGAACCCCCTCCCTCGCCCTGCTGGCCACGCGGCTTTGGGGGCAGCCCAGGACACGGTTGGCTTCTGGGCTGTGGGCGCACATTGCCGGCTCCTGTCCAGCTTTTCACCCACCCATATCCTTCTGAGCAGGGGATGAACTGAACCTGCCAAGTTCTCTTTTGTGGGGTTTCAGGCCAGGGTCAGAGTAAGATGAGCAGCATCTTCTCTGACTCTGCTGGACTTCTAGTGCAAGGGTGGAGAGGTGTCTGGTGAAATCTGGGCTTTGGTGAGTCTTCATTGCTCTGGCTTCAGGGGGAAGGCTGTGAGGACCTGTTGTGCTGGCACCCAGACTAAGCCCGAGCCCCCAACACTGTGTCACCCCAGGGGAGCAGACTGTGTCTTTGATGGCCATGACTTCTTCGGTCACTTCAGGCAGGGGCCACCAAGGCAGTGCTCACCGTGTGGTTTCTCTTGCAGGCTCACAGGAGATTCACATCGATGAGAAAACTGTCAGCCCCCACCTCAGCCTGTCAGAAGATGGGAAAACCCTGACCTTCAGCCCTAAGAAAGCAAAGGTGGACTTGGACTGCCCTGAGCAATTTGACCACTGGCCCAATGCTTTGGCTGCTGTGGCTTTCCACTCTGGAGTCTGCGCCTGGAAGATCAGCGTGGAGAAGAGCTGCGCCTACAAGCTGGGCGTTTGCTACGGCTCCCTGCCACGGAAGGGGTCTGGTAACGAAGCCCGTCTGGGCTTCAACGCCGCCTCCTGGGTCTTCTCACGCTACGACAAGGAGTTCAGGTTCCTGCACGCCGGGCACCCACAGGCGGTGGAGCTGATCAAGTCTCCATCCGCGATCGGGGTGCTGGTGGACTTCGCGGGAGGGGAGGTGCTCTTTTACGACCCCGATTCCTGCGCCATCCTCTTCTCCCACAGGGAGACCTTCACTGAGCCCCTCTACCCCGTCTTTGCTGTGGCGCACCAGAGCATCTCGCTGGCCCAGTGAGCGAAGCATTGCGCTCGCTGGGGGGTGAAACTATGATTGTATATACAGTGACTGTATATATGCTATACGGTACCTTTACCCAGACAGCGGTGTTCAGACAAGACCTGTCTTCAAACTGTGTCTGTTCTTCATGTGTTTTACGGCAGCTTTCCTCTCGTCCTGGAGGCTACACCCATGCTGTGCCATGCCGGGTGTAGCCCGGCTGCTTTTGGGTGAATCATTTAATTCCTCTCCCACCAAGGGCAGCTTTCCAGCTGTCAGGTGGGCTTTAGAAAACAGGAGGAATATTATGAGGTGTGTTTGGGGAAATGGCAGGGAAGACGCACACAGAAAGGGACATCATTGGGACACGGCTGACTATTTTGGGAATAGTCACCCTATGCCAGAGCTGGGACAGTGTGGGGGGCTGTCACTTCTGGGGGACCCACATCGGGGCAGGGGCACCCCGAGGGGCTGTGACCCATGGAGGAGCCCATGTCAGAGCAGAGGAGTAAGAAGCAAGGAGCAGCAGAAAGAAACCCAACCTGAGCCGCTCCTCGCTAATGGGGCGTGAGTGTAATGTGGTGAACACATGAGGAGCTGATGTTAGGCAGGGAGGAAGGAGGTATGTTGGTGTGAAATTGAGGCAGCAAGAAGGTGTTTCCCTGTCTAAAATTCATCATCTTTATTTCTCAATACAAGTTTGTTAATTGGCAATATATTAAAATCAAGTGAACTTGCCCAACTCCAGGCTGTTTTGCCCATGGCAGGAGGCCCAGAACCTATCCCAGTGCTGTCAGGAAGAGGGGGATGCTGGCGAGCTGCCAAACCTGGGGTACACCGAGGCGCGCAGGGTGTGCGCGGGTTGCCTGGGTGCTCTGTGCACACAGACCTTACCTGGGACAGGACAACACCAGCTCTGCTAAAGCGCTTGCACAGGGGGATGCTCAAGCCTCTCCCTGGGGTGACTGAGAAGGGATAAACCTCAATGTCTGCCTCCATCCCACCTGCCAGAATGAGCCTCCTGGCATGCAGCTTGACCCAGTCCCCAGCTCCATTAGGGGAGCTGAGCATCTTCTGTAGTGTTTTTGGAGCTATGAAAGACAGCAGCAGCCACACTGAGCATCGTTTATTGCATCAACACCCCTCCTGCGCTGCACTGCTCCCTGTGCTCAGAAGCAGTCGCTTCTTTTCCCTGCCCAACCGGCAGCAAGAAATCCCACGCCAGGACCAGTTCATGACTCAGCAGCAGCGCTGGTCCTCCTCCAAAACACGGCTACCCCTTCTCAATAAGAGCCAGGAGGTGGCCGAGCGTGGGTAGGATGTGCTCAGGTGGCACCTCCGGCTCCTCGCCCTGCCTGGCAGCCTGGAGCAGAAAGCTGTGCATGCCCACGGCTCGGGCCGCCCTGTAATCCCGGGTGTAGTCATCCCCCACATGAGCTGCCTGCTCCGCTGGGACCCCACCGAGGCGCAGGGCTTTCTCGAAGATCCTCCTGTCCGGCTTGGCAAAGCCTGCATTCTCGGAGGTGAGGATGAATTCAAAGTGGTGCCGCAGGTTGCACTGGGAGAGGACATTTTCCAGCCGGTTATCAAAGTTGGAAACCACCCCCATGCGGAAGCCATGCTGGCAGCACCAGCTCAGGGTCTCGCTGGCTCCTGGCAGCACCTCCCAGTTGCGGGCATTGCAGAAGTCATGGTAGAGTTTTTCCGCCATCAGCGTTAGGACTCCATCTTCATGCACGCCTGAGAGCCTGAAGGTCTGCTTCACAACATCGACCCACCACTGCTGGGAGCTCAGCCCACAGCCCCGGCCGTAGTTGGGGAAGCGCCGGCTCTGGGCTCCGTATGCTGCCCGGAACGACTGGCTGAGAGCCTCTGGCTGCACCCGGAGCCCGTGAGCCCAGGCCTCGGCCGCATAACTCTCTCCCACCGGCTGCCGCCGGCCCACCCCCCCCGCCGCCCGCAGCCGCACCAGCGTGTCCTTCACGTCCCACGTTAGTAAGCGGAGCTTAAGCATAGCTTCAGTAAAGCTCAGGGCTAAGGAAAACCTAGGACAAACAGGGAGGTGAGAGCCAGCTGCTCTGCTGAAAGGGAATCGGTACTGAGCGTGGCTCATGTCGGTTGTATCAGAGGGGTGTGGGCACTGGCCATGTGTCCATATCACACCCACTGGTGTCAGTGGCCCCCATGGGGGGCTCAGGGCCCCTCTGGGGTCTGCATCGAGATATGGCAGGGGAGGGAAGGCCCTGGAAGTCCCACGGTGCAAAGTCTCCCATGCAGGGGCAGGTGCACCCCCCCGTGCGTGCTGCAGTGGGGCCCTGC